AGAACTTGTGTCACTTTTCTATTTTACAAAATCAGATTTTTAAAAAATCGCAAATTTACTATTATTTTGTCTCTTAACACTTGCTTGAAGACAAAATGTAGCAGGTACCAACTGATTAAGAACAACTTATGGAAGAAAAATTTAACCCGGAAAAAGTTTTATCCATTTCTCTCTCAACTAGGAAAATATATTGTTTTATTTTATATTTGTGTTGTTCTATTTTAGCAGAATATCCAGGCCATTTGTGGCAGTCTAGAGTCCACAGCAACACAAATCTGTCCTGAAAGAGGCCTGGAACTCTGTGCAATCAGCAGTGCTACACAGGGAGACAGGGGAGAGGTCATGGCTTAAACAGTGTTTCTCAAAATGTGAAGGACATTCACTGAATGAAAAGGAAGATGAAATAAAAAGTGAAATTGGATGAGCTCAAATTGGGGGAGTGCAGTTTTAGTCAGGGAAGGTCAGTGTCATTTACATTTGTTGATAGGAGGCAACTGGCAGGGCTGCCGTGCATGTCATTGAGAGGTATTAGGGCCTTTTAATCATGTGTTGGTGCAGTAGCCCTGGCTGCTTCAGCTAAATTGATCCTGTCACCTTTGATGGTTGAGAAAATCCCTGAATTGGCCCTGCCCTCTTACTACCATGGATTTTCTGAGTGAGCTACATAGAGCTGCTCACTCTGCTCACTCGACAATGTCAGGCTGAGCTGGCCCCGGGCGTAGGCCACCCACCCCTTGTCCCAACTTCACTGTGTGCTGACGTTACCTGACCCAGACCTCGTGCAGAGCCCCCTTCCCTCTGGTCCCTGTGGTTTACATGATGAGCTTTACTTTACTGTTTACAGTGGGGCTTGAAGCAGTTCTTTGTCAGGAATCCTGCCCAAGGCCTTCTGTTCAGACATTCCTGTGCTGAATAAAATATATTTAAATCTAAAAAACTTTAAAGAAAAAAAAAGCAAAATTGGAAACTGGAAAACACTGGATTAAAAATTAAACAAGTTCCCTTAAGGCAGAACTTGTTGGAGCCTTTAATATGCTAGTGCACATCTAAGTCTCCAAGAGGCAGGTAACAATGTCCTGAGCCCTGTGACCACAGCATCCTTTTCACAGTGGTTATATTTGGGGGACAAAGTTTGAGAAACATTGATATTAGAAATTTCTGAAAGTAAAAGTGTTCCTTAAGAAGAGTCCTGGTAGGTGTTATGTAGTCAAAGGAGTAGATGCTAGAACAAATTACAGGAGTTGGCTGAGACCTGAGATCTACTAGCTGTGAAGTGAACTCCACCACTCAACTTCTGATGACAAAAGAAAAAAGAAAAGATAGGAATGAGATCAAGGAAGTGTGAAGAAAAAACCCAAAGCTTACTTCTCTGTTAATATTGTTAATAAGTGCAAGATACTTTCTCAGAAATCAATGTTTGTCTAAAGCTTCCATTTGGAGTCAGCTGGGCCTAATTAAAAGGGAGCCATGGCTTGCCTCTTCAGATTATTTGAGGAATGAGCATAGTATAACTAAAATGCAGTGTTTTGAGATTCAGGAAGTCTCATGAAATATACTTTCTAGAGATCCTGGGAGATGCATAATGAACCAGAGACTTGTGCATAGTAAGTCTACTCTATCCAATTTGGGAGCAGTCTTAACTTCACAAGTACATTGCTGGCTCTTGGACAGGGATGCTTGTTGTGAACCATGCTGATGCTAAGTTTTAAACAATGCTGATGCTATGTTGTAAATGACTTCAGTCCTCCTGGAAGCCTATGGGTGGCAGATTTGAAAACATCCACAAAGGGGTTGAAACCACCTGTTTCACAACCACCTGTTTACTCTCCTGAAGCAACTAATGTTAAACAGGGGACTACTGTTCTGTGTGCTTATGCACACATTTACTATAGCACTTTTCAGTTTTAAATATTGTCCTATGCTAATTCTTATTGCCTTCATTATGTTTAAATATTGCATTATCATAATGTAACCACTTTCCTTCGATAGAAGAATTAGGTCATTTCCAATTTCGTTATAGCAGTTTTGGAAACACTAGGGAAGTTTTTGCATTGTTTTAAGCACTGTGAATGTAATCCTCATAAATACTGAGAATAGGTATAATTAACCCCATTTTTATAGATGAGGAATCTGATGTACTGACAAACAAGATAAATTAGTTGCCCAAGTTTACAAGCCAGTAAATAGAGCCAGATTTAAACTCAAGTAGTCAGAGACTCATGGACATGAACAATGGACTAGTGGTTACCAGAGGGAAGGGGGGGAGCAGGGAGATAGATGGGGAAAAATTTTATATCATTTTTTCAATTAAATAAAAAAAAAGTTAAAGTTAAAAAAATAAACTGAGTGTGTCTACTTCAGACCACACCCTGAATCCTATTACACTGCAACATTTTTATAGCATTTTTGTAATCTTTAAAATTGAATGGATTTAATGTTCAATCCACTGGCCGTTCTCATTTTTTAAATTTTATTGAGAACTGGTGAAAATTTTATCTTGGAGTGGCATCAGGCTGTAGACTAGCATCTGGGACTTGCTTTCAGTATGCCAAGCTAGTATTTTAACACATCTTTGCACACAGGTGCATTCTTTCAGGAATAATCACAAGAAAAAAAAACCAGAAACCCTTCTTTAATCGAATAAGTAAAATGTGGACAACGAAGATTACAGTTAGGTATGATTAAGTGGCACCTTGTTTTGCAAACTCTACAATCTCAAGAGACATGACGTGCAATAAAAAGTCCTGATAAACACATGGAATTTGCTTTTCGCAGGTAGCACGGTCCCAAAGTAAAAAGGGCTCAAAAATTTTTTATAAAACTGACCCACCCTTTGGATAGCATCCCAACAGACAAAATGTCTGAGAAGCAACCCTCTGTGGCATCGAAGTTCAGGAGCGGGAAGGTCAAGGGAGACATTTACTTAAAAGGGCAGGTGAGGTATTTGCAGCATGGGCTCTTAACAATTTTCTTCCCTCCAATGGACTCTTTAGCATCTGGACCAACTGCAACTGAAATTCCTGGCTATGTGAATGTACTTAGTATTCCCCACAGGGTTGCCAGCCCCTCACCAGCAGTCAAGAGAAGTGAGCAGGAACCCCTAACTACAATTGGCCTGTTTAATTCAGTGTGGAGTAAGGTCTGAGGCCAAGTGATTAATCCACTTCCCAAAATCAATTGAGAGCACAAGTTAGACACATTCAGAGAGCCTTTTCATTGCTCAAACTTCAAGTTGTGTGCAGGGTGAATTTGCTGAGATCCATGAATACCTTTGATACCTATGGAAGAGATCTTGAGACAGCAACAGCTGGAATTTATCTCAAGGAATTCACAATACAAACTTGTGACCTGAAGTCATAGTGAAGATTTGGCAGAAATGACAACATAATTGTGCAAGTCCTATTTGCCCAGACCACCACTAGTCTTTACTTAGCTATTCAGTGCAATGCATTTAATTCTTCAGGTTTATTAATCAAGGTTTATATTAGGTGTAAAGGAAAATGTGAGAATGACTTTTAATCTTCAAAACCCAGTTTTAGAGAGCCAAGTCATGCAGCAAAAGTGTGCTGGGCCCATAAAACTCAGCTTTACTAGCAAAAAGCCGGTTTTAAAATTTATTGTTCAGCAAAAAGCCTTTTGTTTAAAAGCACTAGTTTGAGGACATTCTGAAAGTGAAGAAACCTAATTAAACTTCATGGATTTTATGAATTAAATTAGAACACTTAATAGATTCCAGTCCTTGGTTTGCCCCTAACAAGAACTTAGCCTTGAACAAGTCAACTGCTAAAAATGTGCAGACTGGAGAGGATGTCACCTTCCAATGTAAGTCAAATGTGTTCCCTTAAGTCTTAAGGCTTTTTAAAGGCTTGCTTTTTCATTACCACCTCGAAGGGTTTAATATAAGCAGCTTTTCTTTTTTCTGGCCCGAGTATTTTATTACAGGAATTGAAGCATTAATTCACTAGCCTAAAATTAAGTGCTACATCCAGTGTCTAACTCAAACCCAAAGTACTTAAATTTAAGTGGATTTCTGGGACATATAAAACTATTGAAAAGGCAGTTCCTAAATTACGCACCAGGCCCTTCTGAGGTACGCCTAGAACATCAAAGGCATTATTTCTAGGCCTGATGCTTGGCTTTCTACATTTTTCTAATGCACCTATAGGTGATTAAGATGTTTTTACTAATAGCGCACTTGTGATCACACCACCTTTAGTACCAAAAAAGTTATTTCCCTACTATGGTATACAAACTTTTTGATAAAACCAGGAGGGCTTCCAACTTCTCTCCCTTGTACACACTCCCCACAGCATTTAATTTTGTCCCAAGTTGAGAAACCACCAAATTCACTAGTTACATTCACTGCAGGAAATTGTTGTAAAGAGGTTGACAACTAAATAAAAGGCCTCTGTATCCAAATCTTACTCCCTCAAATTTCTATTAGTACTGGAAACAGACTGCCTAGTGTTTATTGGTATGGCAGCACACGAACTGCTTGTGTTAGAGAATACTTATCAAGTCCCAAATTAAGAGAATCTCATTTGCTGTTGCAATCTTACCTTTTACATAATGTAAAGCTTAGTCATTAACATTTGTTAGAAACCATCTTTGCTACCTAACATACCTGTGTAAGGCACTTTACATCAGAATATACTTTTCACTTTTTGTAATCTTTCTCACCAGCCAGCCTTCTTTCAAAACTTGACTAGGGCTCCAGTTGATTCTTGGCTGAGCTCACATACAGCAGAGTATTGCAGTTCTATTTCACTACCTAAACACTTGCGTGTAATGCACTCACAAGAAAAACTTAAGAGTCAACAAATAACTACAAGGCTTAATCTAGTTCCCACACCTCAGCACATCCCATATCTACCAAAGTCAAATGACTTAATTTTGCTCACATCAACCATCTGAAAGTTAAATCCCTCCCTTGTACACCATTTTAACCAGTTAAGAGTCCCCACATCACTACGTAATTTCAAGACAAAAGACACAAAATATGCTACCATGCAACAAAACCTTTATTAACACTTTCAACAGATTCAGCTATTACTGAAACTGGTAATTTCTAAACTTAAATTGGGGCAAGTGGCTAGAGTGCAGAGTAATGCCATCATTGGGCACTATGAATGCAAGACTAAAGAATTAACAGCCGCCCCTCAGACGTAGGACCAGGTGCAGGGTCGACTCTTTCTGAATGTTGTAATCAGAAAGAGTGCGGCCATCTTCCAGCTGCTTGCCTGCAAAGATGAGCCTCTGCTGGTCTGGGGGGATGCCTTCCTTATCCTGGATCTTGGCCTTCACATTCTCAATGGTGTCACTGGGTTCCACTTCCAGGGTGATGGTCTTGCCGGTCAGGGTCTTCACGAAGATTTGCATTTTGACCTATAAAATTTAGAAAGCAAAAACACAATTTCAGGATTTTTTCACTTATTACTTTCATATTTAGTCATTTCTTCAAAATAAACTCCTTAAATTATCTGCACCTCACAAACTTCCCTCAGTTTTTACTATACAGTCATTTAATACAAAATTCTTTACTCAAGACTTCAACTTAACCCGCCTAGAAGATCAAAAATGCTTTCTGAAGTTACCCTTCAGAGCTTTCTTCCGTAACTATACCAGGCACTCCGCTAAGTGCTCCCCTCACCACCAGCAATTTTCCCAAAACCAAATGCACAGCACGTAAAAAAGCCCCAAAGGACACGGAAAATTCAAATCTCCGTTTACACGGAGGTAGGGAGAGACACCTCCAAGTTGCGATTCGAAATTTAAAGATTTCTACAAGCCACACTACCGTTTTTCCGCCTTCCCCCTCTGAAGCAGACACGATGGAATCTCCATCGGTTAAATATCCGTTAGTCT